AAAAACAATATATATATAATCAATGTCAAGCAACTTAAAACAAACAATAGAATAATCTACTCTACTTATATTCAAAAATTAATCAACCAAACAAGTTTTTATTCAGCAATCAATTCCTAGTGCCACACACCCAACACTTGACGCCATCCAAGCAGAGAACACTCTGCCTGACCCAAGCCTAATAATATACAAACCTATTCTTGACGTGGATAAGGTAGAGGTCCAACTCATTTCAGGTAGAGAGTTTCTTAGCAAAGAGTTATGGCTTGGCCATGCTAGGTGCCACTCTATCAGGACTTGACGTCACCAAGTTAGAGACCTTCTTGTGTTTTCACGTCCCATGCTATTCAATCCATGCTCAACATCATTCTAACCCAAGATGAGTCTCTCCCCCTTCGCCCAACGCTGCCAACCCTACATCTAGTGTGATAAGACAGAGAGCCTCAAGTTGAAACCACGTCCAATGCCTTGAAGGCGCGCCTGACATGGTGAGCAATCTACACCTATGTAGAACACAAATCTACCTTAAAGGACCTGAAACTTAGCAATTTTACACATGCAACATAGTTTTCTATACAACAATAATTCAAGCAACTCAAATCCAACTTGGAAACCAACATGCAACAACAATTCATAACAAATTATCAAAATTTTCCTTATGAACCCAAAAATCCAACTCTCATTTTTAACCCACTCCGATTTGATCAACACAACCATGAATCTTAAGGGAATTCGTACAACATACAACTCATACATCACTACACAACTTAGCTACTCAATCAAAACCAAAAATCTAGCTTCTTGTACCTTAAGATCAATCCAAAAGATGAGAAAGAGAAGAAAAAGATCCCACACGACTTTAAGAAGCTCCACACAGATACACTAGCTCAATTCTAGGTTCTGATAACCTGAATCAACAATACATATGAGATTAAAGGAAGAATCGAAGAAGATTTAGAAGGAAAGGAAGCTTACAGAGTAAAAACCCTTCTCTCTAGAATTTTTCTTTCTAAGTTTTTGAAGACTTGAACTTATGGAGTTCAATTATAAATAAAAACCTTATGTACTCCTCTATTTAGGGTCAAACTAAACCTCTATTCAAAGAAACTCTCCAACACTATTTTAACTTATAAAGAATCTTCAGATTCTAGAATTCATCAACATCAAATAAAACTTCAACACATCGACCAATCATATAATTAAAACAATATAATACTCCATAAATTAGAGTTCTATAATGACATCATAATAATTTTGATGAATAAAAAATATTAAAATTAAGACTTCATTTTCCATAACCTAGGTTGACCTTTAATGTAAATTATTGTAGTTAAACTCAAATTGTAATTAAATAACCACCAACCATATATAAATAATTGTCCTTTTATTAAATAGATTTATGAGTACTTGAGCTAAGTCAGCCTGTATGTTACGTTAAAGCTCGAATCCATTTAATTCATGTGCATGTTTGCAGAATGGAGGGGAAAGACAACAACACAAGCTCCTACACAGTGAACAACGTTGTTGCTGAGGCTGATGAGGCAATAAAGTTAGAGTCATTTGCGAGTGTGTCAAAGTACGGTAGAGCGGTGTTGGAGACGCCGTTAAGGCTAGTGGATCGGGTGACGAGTCGGTCGATGGATGAGGTGGAGTTGGTGGAAGTGAAGAGGCGAAGCCAGCACGAGATGAAGAAAACGCTCACGTGGTGGGACCTCATATGGTTCGGATTAGGCAGTGTCATAGGTTCGGGCATCTTTGTGCTCACGGGATTCGAGGTCAAGAGCCATGTGGGACCCGCTGTTGTTTTGTCCTATGTTATCTCTGGGATCTCCGCCATGCTCTCCGTTTTCTGTTACACTGAATTTGCCGTCGAAATTCCCGTTGCCGGTATGCTTGCTTTTCTGCTACTCCAGCCACTTTTTGCAAGTCAAATATTTTTTTTTTATCACTTTTATAGAAATAAAAATATAATCTAGTCTAAATACTATTAAAGGAAACCAAAATGTTATAATTACGTGGGAATAAGTCAGGCGCCTCAATAAAAGCATATAGTCTAGCTTATGTCACACTTAGGTTAAGCCATACTTTTATAAAAAATAGATCATAATAAATATGTTTAGCTTAGAAAAATTATATTCTATACTTTTTAAAATGCTTTTCAGAATTAGTAAGTTTACCTAAAACGAGGACAAATTAATAAATATTTGTTGATATTGATATTATTATTTTGTTTATTTAATAAAGAATTGCACAACTCATTTTTATTATTAATAAGTGGTATTTTTATCTATAATTCTATGTTTAAGTCAGGGATTAAATTATGATTCTTGATTAAGAAATATAAATGCAAAAATATTTGAGTTAATAACTTAGGGTTTTTAGGGTTAATAACTTAAGAAATATAATTTTGTTGTTAGATTAAAATATTTTTTTTAGTCTTTATAATTTCACTTATATTATTTTTTAATCTTGATAATTAACATAAACATTTTTTAATTTTTATATTTATTTATTTTTTTAATCCTTATATTTAAGATAAATATTTTTAGTCTTCTATACTTGTAACTTTTTAATATTTGTAGTTCTTATGGTTAATTTTTGTGTAATATTATCTCTTTCGATGTAACAGAAATATTAATTACTTCTTTTGTACCCTTACCTCTTCTATATTAATACAAAACCATCATTACAAAAAAAAAATCTAAAAAAAAATTAAGAAACTGCAATGTGAACTAAAAAATCTATGTGAAATATGTGGGTAGCACTTCAATTCAAAACTTGTTGCAACTATATAAACTAAAAAATCTATTTGAAATGTGTTGGTCACTGTGATTCAATACTTGTTGCAATCGTTTGGCTAACTGAAATTATGCTAAACATATTTGATGCACATATATAAATAGGTGGTTCGTTTGCGTACCTTCGAGTGGAGCTAGGCGATTTCGTGGCGTACATAGCATCGGGCAACATCCTTCTAGAGTACGTGGTTGGTGGTGCCGCAGTGGCACGCTCCTGGACCTCCTACTTCGCCACTCTCTGCAACCAACCCTCCGACAAGTTCCTCATCCACGCCCACCGCCTCTCACAAGACTACAGCCACCTCGACCTCATCGCCGTCCTCGTCCTCGCCATCGTGGGCCTCTTCGCCGTCTTCAGCACCAAGGGCTCCTCGCGCTTCAACTACGTCGCCTCCATAATCCATGTCATTGTCCTCCTCTTCATCATCGTCGCGGGCCTCACCAAGGCCCAGGCCCGCAACTACACCGACGACTTTCTCCCCTTCGGCCCCCGCGGAATCTTCCAAGCCGCCGCGGTCCTGTTCTTCGCCTACGTCGGCTTCGACGCCGTTTCCACCATGGCGGAGGAGACCAAGAACCCCGGGAGAGACATTCCCCTTGGCCTCATCGGCTCCATGACGTGTGTCACCTTTTTGTACTGCATGTTGTCGGTCACACTTTGTTTGATGCAGAGGTACAGCGATGTCGACGAGAATGCCGCTTTTTCGGTTGCGTTTGAGGCTGTTGGGATGAGTTGGGCTAAGTACATTGTTGCTTTTGGCGCGTTGAAGGGAATGACGAGTGTGTTACTTGTTGGAGCTGTGGGTCAAGCGAGGTACCTCACACATATTGCTAGAACGCACTTGTTGCCACCGTGGTTCGCTAGGGTTAATGAAAAAACTGGGACACCCATCAATGCAACTATTACTATGCTTGGTGCAACTGCTGTTGTTGCATTCTTTACCAGCCTCGATGTTCTTGCCAACCTTCTTTCGATTTCGACTTTGTTCTTGTTCTCTCTTGTGGCCTTGGCTTTGTTGGTTCGGCGATACAATGTTAGAGGGGTTACTACAAGGGTGAACGTGGTGAAATTCGTTGTGTGTGTTGTTCTTATTTTGGGCTCTTCCGTTGCTTCAGCGGTTTATTGGGCGAATACCGAGAAATGGGTTGGTTACACTGTGTTTGTGCCTATTTGGTTTGTGGGAACGGTGGGGATTTGGATGTTGGTTCCGCTTGCGAAGAAGCCGAAGGTTTGGGGTGTGCCTTTGGTGCCGTTTCTGCCTTCGGCGTCGATTGGCATCAATGTTTTCCTTCTGGGGTCGTTGGATAAGGCTTCGTTTAGGAGATTTGGGGTTTGGACTGGGATTTTGCTGGTGTATTACCTCTTTGTGGGGTTGCATGCGTCTTATGACATGGCGCGGCTGCAGAAGAAGGAGAGGCTAGAGACCAAGACTGAGTCGACGGTGGATGAGGAAGATGGTGTTGTGACCGTGACGGAGTCTATTACAAAAAGTGAAAAATCATATGCAGCGGGAGTTTGATTTAACTGATTGTTGATGGTTGTGTGATGGTTGTTTATGTTCCACGTTGCATGTGATTATTGTTTGTGTGAACTGATGCTTTGAGCAATAGGGTTTGTTTGTATAGATGCTATTTCTCTTCATTTATTTTCTCTGTGAAAAAAAATCCGTTCATGGAAGGTTCTACTGAAAAAGACCACCTTAATTGATAATACAATTAATGTTTCATTTTGATATGGTCTACATATGTGTATATGGTTCCATAATTCCCAAAATTTGTTGCTAATTAATTTACTAGCTCGTTAATTCTCAAATATTAATCTTATGAATATAATATTAAAATGTTGTGAAGAATATGAATCATGAATAAGTTATTATCATGTAACACTTAGAGAGATATGTTGGAAGATGCTATCATAATTTCTCTCCTCTTTGTACTCAAAAATCAAAATTGGCATGTACTAAGTGATGTGGAATAATAACACAATATTTTTAGTGTGAAAATTTTCCTTAATATAAGTAAGGAAAAACCACAATAAGTCATTTAAATTTTCATTATAACAATAATGAGAATACAAAACATAACCCCAAGCGTGTGGTTCAGCGGTAGGGGTTGATCCACGCTTAAGCAAGGTCAGGGATTCGAATCCTGCCTTGTGTATGCAGCCGCGTTAAATCTTGGGGCCAGCTATCCCACCCTTTGAGGTGCCTCCAACGCTGTCGGCGGTGGATACTCCAGGAACGAACCTAAAAAATGAGAATACAAAACATAACACAATGTAACCTCAATTTGTGAATAACACTCACGTATTAGTTTAATAATTTTTCTCTTTGATAAAACTCTCTAAAAGACTATTTATTTTTCTCACTCTTTTTGTCTCTAAGTGAGTGTTTCTCACTTCTTGATGCTTCATTCGTGGCTTCTCTTCCTCTATTTATATGGAGAGATTTGCACTTGGTGCAATTAATGCACCGAATGGGGCAATTGAGATTGAAAGAAAAACAATTTTCCTGCATGTTTCCACATTGGCTTTTACAAGTAAAATGCAATTTTCTTCTTTACATTTAAGGTACCGAATGAAACCTGTAGCATTTTCAAGGTTTCACATTTTGCATCGGGGTGATAAATTCAAAATCGTTGCATCATTGGTTGGATCCCACATTTTTCTCCCTCTAGCTACAAGAAAATATCTTTGGATCAATTCGGGGTTGGTGCAAAATACAGCTTCTTTACAAAATTCTAACTTCTTTTTCATTAGTGCTTTCGTCATTGTAGCTACACTATTATCTTTGGTGTCTATTTTTTCAACTTGCACTAGTTTAGTTATCCTTATTTTTTTAGGGTATCCTACTATTAAAGGTATATTTTACCTTAAAGAACTTTTATTATTGTTTTACATTTTTCATAATAGTAATTGTATAGATTATTTTTGACTTTGTATTTTAAGTCAAATAGTATATGAATTTTTATCTTTGTATAATTTTTCTTTAAGTGTGTAATTAGTAGTGTAGGGGAGATATAATTAGCATAAGCCATAAGCTTATTTGGGCTTGGATGACCCAAACTTCTTCTACGACCCATAGTTTTGGATGTTCACTTGCTTAAGCAAGTGGTTTGGACGTCCAAACCTAGCCAAATTAGTCATCTAAGTTGTTAAATAAGTCACATGACTTTGATAGTGACATCTCAACAAACTTGTTAAAAGTAATCATTAATTAGTTAGTTATCATGATTAGGTTAGGTAGTTGGAGTTAACTTAACCTAACCTAAGTTACTTCTTGTACTGTCCGTACTGCGAAGCCGAGCTCCGAGCTCGGGAGCTCGGCACCACAGCGCAAGATGACCTCCGGCACGCGCTATGCGACGTCAACTCGGCATTTAAGTAGATCATAACTGATCTCAAGGGATCTCGCTCCAGACGAGATCCATCATCTAATCTTATCATATCGTATCTCAGGCCTAGGGCCCAAAGCAACCCTAATTCACACTAAGGTACGTGCATTACTTATACGAGACTGATACTCCCACAAACACTAACTTTAGCATCGGAGACTCTTTTGCAGGTACCACCCCCATATTGGAGCATCAAGCGTACCAGTGAAGGAGGCTCACCGATCTTACCTGGCGGATCAGCTCTACAGCAGATTTCTGGTAAGAACATTTGGCGCCCACCGTGGGGCCGATCAAGATAGCTCTTATCGGCCACGCTTGTGGTTTTCACCAGAAGCCATAGCAGACGCGTAACAGATGACCTAGATCACACCACTAACATGAAAAACGAAGCAGCATTAAGACTACTGATCGAGCAGGTCGAGCAGATGCGGCAACAGCACACCGCAGATCTACAAAGTATGCGTGCCAAGCACGAAACCGACCTAGCCGCGATGCGGACCGCCAATGAGGCTGACCTAGCGACTCTACGCACGAAAAATAAAAGGATTCGCGCTCAACTCCCACGGCGACACTCTGATCACCCCCCTCATACAAACAACCACAATGAGGAAGAGGAACACTCCACTCTCCCCGACCAAGGTCGAGGAAAAGGACAAGGACGAGACAGAGGTCATGATTCAGGAGCTCGCACGGAACAGCCCTCTGCCTCCCAACTTAACCCCGGCGAAGCAATGCGAGCCGAGGTAAGCCAGGAAAAAGGACCAACTCCCATACAGGGAGTAATCAGTACAATCGCGGGTGGTTTCGCAGGAGGGGGCGCCAGCAGCTCGGCCCGGAAAAGACACTTGCGCAACGTCAACCACATACACTTCACCACCTCAGCTTCGCACCAGAGTGCACCGATGATTACTTTCACAAATGACGACTATGCCGGGGTCAACCCCAACCAAGACGATCCCATGGTTATAGCCGTAGCGTTAGCCAATTGGGAGGTTCACAAAATGCTGATTGACCAAGGGAGCTCGGCCGACATCCTGTATTGGCCAACGTTCCTCAGGTTAGACATCCCCTACTCTCTCATACAACCTCACACAGAGCCCCTAGTCGGTTTTGCAGGAAGAAGCGTTCACACGCGGGGGTACGTGGACCTACTGACAACTTTTGGAGCACCTCCGAATACAAGACGGATCGTGGTTCGATACCTCCTCGTGGAAGCCGACACCTCCTATAACATCATCATCGGGAGGCCAACCTTGAACCAGCTCGAAGCGGTGGTATCCACCCCACACCACACCATGAAATTCCTAGGGCATGATGGGAAAGTTATCTCCGTCAAGGCGAACCAGAAGACGGCACGAAAATGCTACACCGAAAGCCTGGAAATCGCCTCACTCGGTGAACAGTGCAAGAGCGACCCCACCTCCGTGGCTCACGCCAACCACGAAGAAATCACCGATCTCGATCAAAGATCCGACTCTCACGACGAACGACCTAGCCCCGTTGACGAGCTCGATGACCTTCAGATCGGGAAACTCCCTGGGCAATCCACGAAGATCAGCAGACAGTTGACCCCAGAGTTGCGACAGCAACTCGAAGCGGAAATCCTCAAAAATGCCGACCTCTTCGCCTGGTCCAGCACTGATATGCCAGGCATAGACGCTGATTTCATCTGCCACAAGCTAGCAATACACAAGGAGGCAAAACCAGTTGCCCAGCGGAAGAGGAAGGTAGGCGGTGAAAGGCGGGAGGCCATCGTCGTCGAAACGCAAAAACTGCTGAATGCTGGCTTCATCCGTGAGGTCAGGTACACCACATGGCTGGCGAACGTGGTCCTGGTAAAGAAGAACTTGGGGAAGTGGCGGATGTGCGTCGACTACACCGATTTGAACAAAGCATGCCCCAAGGACTCATACCCCTTGCCGAGCATTGACAGGTTGGTCGACGAAGCCTCCGGACACGCCCTCCTCAGCTTCCTCGATGCCTACTCCGGGTACAACCAGATAATGATGCACCCACCTGACGAAGTGCATACATCCTTCATCACCGACCACGCCAACTACTGATACCGGGTGATACCCTTCGGCCTCAAAAATGCAGGCGCAACCTACCAACGGCTGATGGATAAGGTTTTCCAACAACAGATCGGGAGGAACATGGAAGTCTACGTCGACGACATGGTAGTCAAGACCACCTCGGCAGCAGACCATGCTGCCTACCTCGCCGAAGTATTCGCCCAAGTCAGGAAGCACAACATGTGCCTCAACCCGGAGAAATGTGTCTTCAGCGTCCAGGGAGACAAGTTCCTCGGCTTAGCAGAGGAATTGAGGCAAATCCCGAGAGTTGTAAAGCAATCATACAGATGCAAAGCCCACAAACGGTGAAAGAGGTCCAACACCTAGCTGGACGGCTGGTCTCATTATCCCGTTTCATCCCCAAACTCGCGGAAAAGGCAGGGCCCATTTTCACCCTGCTGCGAAAACCAAAAGACTTCCAATGGACGGATCGGTGCGAAGAAGCTTTCCGAAGCTTCAAAACCTTCCTCACAACCCCGCCGATCCTAATCCCGCCGATCTTACAGAGGCCGGATCACAAAACCGACCTCCTTCTTTACTTGGCCATAGCAGAAGGCGCTATCAGCGCAGTAATAGTACAAGAGCACCAGAAAGTGCAGACACCAATCTATTTCATCAGTCGAGTCCTCCAAGATGCGGAGAAGCGATACCAGATGATCGAGAAGCTGGAACTAGCACTTGTCACCGCAGCTTGGCGTCTCCGACCCTACTTTCAAAGTCACCAGGTGGTAGTCAAAACCGACTACCCCATCAAGCAAATTCTGCGAAAGCCCAAGCTCGCCGGACGGATGATTGCATGGTCAGTAGAATTGTCTGAGTTCGGCATCCAGTATGAAAGTCGCGGACCCCTGAAAGCCCAGTGCCTGGCCGACTTCGTAGCCGAGCTCACGCCTACCACTACCGAGGAACCTCAGGTGTGGACCTTACATGTGGACGGATCCTCCAACTCTAAGGGTGGTGGTGCAGGCATCATATTGGAGGGACCAAACCAAGTCACTCTGGAACAATCCCTTAACTTTGGCTTCAAAGTGACCAACAACCAGGCAGAGTACGAGGCACTTCTCGCAGGATTAAGGCTAGCCCGCGACCTTGGAGCCTGAAAGTTGAGTTGCAACAGCGACTCAAAACTCATTGTGGAGCAGCTCAGCGGAACGTACCAA